TACTGTGTTTTTTCATATAGCTTTGTCTCTGGCATTCGGCAACGGCAACGACAGCCACGTCTTCTGCGGCAGCTGCACGAAATGGTGTGATCGGTGCATAGGGCTACGTCAAACGACCAACTGTTCTGTCATTAGTCGACGTTTGCTGGCGACTTTACTTCATCGGCAGATGAACCTCCAGGAGGTATGAAAAAAATGAAGATATTGGATCCTCGCCACTCGTCGACTGACATGTCAACGACGGTGGTGGGCGAGGAGACTCATTGTTCGTCGGTGAAAGGCCGAGACTCGAAGCGCAAGACGACGACGTTCGTCCTGGAGCCGGTCATGGTCACCACCTATCGACAGCCGAGCGACACCGGCTGCCACGAACCGCCTCCGGAGGTGTTGTCTCCGCGGCATCGCCAAATCCGACGAGTGGTCATGGCGATCGGAGTGTCGCTGACCGTCGTCTGCGTCATCCTCGTCGCCGTTTCACTGGTTCTCGGACAACGCACAGACCGAAATGGTAAATCGCCTGTGAAATCTATTTTCGTTCGATAAATGGCCATTTTTGCGGTGACTGTACGACTTCCGGGGGACACTCGTAGTTACGCTTGCTTTTTCGGATTTAATTTCGGATCATCAGGCAGTTGTCTATGGGAAAATTATTCGCATGGTATATGCATGATATTCCCTGGCATAGTGTTTGTCGTGCAACACATGTGCATCTAGATCCTGACATGTCCGTGATTTTACCAGGCTATAGCCATATCGAAAATCCATTATCATCGTCTATTGCCCTATGCTGTCCATTTTGTTTTTATAAATTTGATAAATTGTCTGTAAAAATATACACGCATGTACATATTTTCATCGCATTACTGTTTAGACCTTCAGTTCAGGGCGCAAGGGGCATCGTAGAGCAGGTTGTCATTTTCCAAGTCTAATCGCGCATCTTCCGTGACTGAAACTCAGTTAAGCAGGACTCTACATACGATAATTCTGTTAATTGTTTAAATTTTTTAGATGATAATGTAAAAAATGTTTTCCCTATTTGTTTCGTCTGTTTATGTTGAATAGTTGAATTGTACTGTAGATTTGTCTGTTCCCGCAGTCTGTTGTTTCCCATGACGATGTTGTATAAAGCAGGAATGATGTTCGTATTTGCTCCTGTTCTTTGACGGTTGACCGTTTCGCATAACATGGGCAAGTTTCGCATTGGTTTTAAAGGGATCAAGTGATTTTGAGATTTAAAGAGATTGGCGGCCGATAGTAGTTAAAAAGAAATATCGAATCGAGATTGTGCCATTCAGTTTATGTCCAGTCTGTATTTACCACCTTTACCGATATTGACGTGAATCTGCCAACAGTCACCCGTGAATGCAGATGTAATACTTTGTCCATAAACCCGTTAATGTGGGCATTGTCGAAGGCATTGTGGGACGCAGTCTCATTGCGAACAAAAATATGTCATGGGAACAAAAACTATTAGATCAGAATGCAGATCATAGGTCTAAGACTGACGAAGCAACTGAGTGACAATTGGGCGGACATGTTTCATGAAGACGTGACTAGCACTGAATCATGTA